TTGGTTAAATGTGTTGTTATAAGATTTTGTTTTTGTTCTGCTTTTGTTATTAATGTTTCCGTCAATAGTTAAGTGGGAAGTTGAGAGAGACTAGATGAAAGATTTCTATCCAGGTGATATGATAAATCATGTAAATTGTATTTGGCTAAAATTGTATTAAAAGTATATTAGTGGCTTTGCCATTAACCTTGTACTATTATTAGTCACATTGGTTTTCCACCCAGATTTTTAAAATATCACTTATTTGTACTCTACCTAGAACTAATTTCCAGGAGTTGGTCTCCTCACATGATGCCTCTGTTTCTTATTCAAGGTTAGTAATTTTTTTACTTTCTGGTTACCCAGAGCTTTTCCATATACTTCGTTCTCCATAAAGCTACTACCAATTCTAGACCACTAGATTTAGATACCTCTCCCTCATATTCTTCACAACATTATCCATAATTGGTTATAATCCACACAGTCAAATGTCTTTCCATAGTCAATAAAACAAAGGTAAACATCCTTCTGGTATTCTCTGCTTTCAGCCAAGATTCATCTGATATTAACAGTGATATTCCTCATTCCACATCCTCTTCTGAATCTGGTTTGAATTTCTGGCAGTTGCCTGTCAATGTCGTGCTGCAACCATTTTTTAATTACGGATAACATTGCAAAGAATGGGAATTCCAGAACACTTAATTGTGCTCATGAGGAACCTGTACATAGACCAAGAGGCAGTTTCTCGAATAGAACAAGGTGATACCACGTGGTTTAAAATCAGGAAAGATGTGCATCAGAGTTGTATCCTTTCAACATAATTACATAATTATTCAATCTGTATGCTGAGCAAATAATCCAAGAAGCAGGACTATATATAGAAGAATGCAGCATCAGGATTGGAGGAAGACTCATTAACAACCTGTTATATGCAGACGACACAAACTTGCTTGCTGAAGGTGAAGAGGACTTGACTGATGTGAGGACTTCTACTGATGAAGAAGATCAAAGACCACAGCCTTCAGTATGGATTACACCTCAACATAAATAAAACAAAAATCCTCACAACTGGACCAGTAAGGAACCTCATGATAAATGGAGAAAAGATTGAAGTTGTCAAGGATTTCATTTGAATTGGCTCCACTATCAACACCCATGGAAGCAGCAGTCAATAAATCAAACGATGTATTGCATTGGGCAAATCTGCCCAAAAGACCTCTTTCAAGTGTTGAAAAGCACATGATACTTTGAGGATTTAGGTGTGTCTGACCCAAGCCTCAATATTTTCAATAGCTTCATATGCATATGAAAGCTGGACAATGAATAAAGAAGAAGGAAAAAGAATTGATGCCTTTAAATTATGGTGTTGGTGAAGAATAGTGAATACACCATGGACTGCCAGAAGAACAAACAAATCTGTCTTGGCAGAAATACACCCAGAGTGGTCCTTAGAAGCAAGGATGGTAAGACTTTGTCTCATGTACTTTGGACATGTTAGCAGAAGGAACCAGTCCCTGGAGAAGGACATCATGCTTCGTAAGGTAGAGGGTCAGCAAAAAAAGGAAGACCCTAGATGAGATGGATTGACACAGTGGATGCAACAGTGGGCTCAAATAGAGCAACAATTGTGAGGATGATGCTGTGCTGGACCAGGCAGTGTTTTATTCAGTTGTACACAGGGTCCCTATGAGTTGGAACCAACCTGACGTCACCTAACAGCAACCACACTCGTATTCTAGCTTTTTTACTTTGCCTTCCAAGAATCGCCTGAGAACAATAAGCAGTAATTTCAACTGTATGTTAATGATACTCTTTATGTCAAGCCATTTTGCCACTTCAACACCAACTTACTGAACTATTTATTATGTTCAAGGTACTCTAAGCAGTGAATAAGATAAAGATTTCTTCTCCAGCATGAGTTATAAACTCCTAGTATTTCTTACTATTCCAATTCAAAAAAAATGTAATTCAGATATAAATGGCTGCTTCATGCACAGTGCCTGAATAAAGAGCTTCGGTACATTATATTTAGGAAGGAGGTAGTCATATTCAGAAGTGTTATAGATATGAATGAAGCACCTGGAGCCTTTCTAAAGAATGAGGATTGAGACATTTGAGTAAGTAAGGAAATAAGGCCAAAAGTTGTGGGTAGTGAATACTTGAGTGTCTATTTTTACGAGCTATACCTGTTACCCATTGCCATTGAGTTGATTCTGACTCATGGTGACCTCATGTGTTACAGAGTAGAACTGAGCTCCATAGGGAATTCTTGGCCATAATCTTTCTGAAGAGGAGCCCTGGTGGTGCAGTGGTTAAGCACTCAGCTGCTAAGCACTCAGGTGCTAACTGAAAGGTCAGCGGTTCAAACTCACCAGCTGCTCTGCGGTAGAAAGATGTGGCAGTCTGCTTCCATAAAGATTTACAGCCTTGGAAATCCTATGAGGAAGTTCTACTCTGCCCTGTGGGGTCAGTGTCAGTCAGAATTGACTCGACAGAATGCATCTGGGTTTTTTAATCTTTATGGAAGCAGATCGCCAGGACTTTCTTCCATGGCACCACTGGAATTCGAACTGCTGACCTTTTAATTAGTAGTCGAGCGCAAGTCATTTTCACGACCCAGCGACCTGATTTTAAGAATAATGTTTCTTCTTTGTATCCTTGATGTATGTATATTAACTATTGTATAATGCAAATTTGATGGTTGTTTTTTACCCTATAATGTTACATTTCTTTACTATAGATTGTTGGCTAAATTCTAGACAAATCTTAGTTCAATTTTAAGTTCCAGTGCTTAATAGTTATATGACCTTGAGCAAGTTATTTCATCTCTGCAAACCTTGGTTTTGTTTTCTGTAAAATGAAGATAATAACAATTCTTCCCTCCTTGAGAAGAAGGACAGAGGTGCTACATAGGAAGTGTCCATGTCTATGTCAAAATCACATCTGTTGTCAGATAAGATTATGAGGAGGGACTTAAAAGAACACTTTCAATTACTGGAGTTAGAAACTGATTCTGAACAGAGAGATCACATCCGGGTGCTCAGAGAGACAGAGAGATGTAGCAACAGGATCACAGGGAGGATTTTACAGAACAGTTTCCATAAAAATAATGTTTCCGTGGAAATCAATTAAGAAATTATTCAAGATTATACCTAAGCAAAACCTCAAGCAAAGAGAAGTCAGATAAACAAAAAACTTGATGTAAGAGGAGACATTTCAGCCCAAAGGGAGTGAGAAAAGAATATCAGTTACAAAAGAGGGTTCAGACCAACTGGAAAAGTCCCCTTAACCCCACTGGTTAGGGGTTGTCAGCAACTCCTTAGTAAAGGGAAACTGGAGATGAGATCAGAGCTACTGCATACCCTTTATAACTCTTCCAATGTAGCTACTTATAAAATTATCCATACACAAACAGCGTCAGAACAGAGAGAGGCGTATGCTTCCCAAATCTCATGAGAAGACAGAAGTCTGTGTCCTTCAGAAACCCGAGAGAGCTGTGAAAAATATGAAATTAGCTACAAAAATTGCGATTGCGAAGCGTAAATCATGATGCTATTTATTCTGACTCAATTTTTTCATGAAAATAAAAAATACAAAAGAAACAAATAAGTGTTGGAAGATGTTGGACGAGAATTGTCAGGTCTGAAATGGGAGAGAAGCAAACATACTCTCACACGAGGCTTCTCTGGTTTCTGGATTTCATTGACTGTTAACGATATCCCACAGGCCAGCAAATTCTTCCCCTCCCCTACTCCTCAACAGAGAGTGATGAAGGTAGCCAGGCTCTTATTTCACCAAGTAATGACAAGACAAACAATCACAAAGCATTATTGACTATTCCCTTCATTTCGTGAAGGAATGGACTGATACCAAAAATACAGGATAGACATGACTTCAGGGAGAAGATATGAAAAACTCACTCCATTGTTCCTATTTTACTCATTTTAGCATTGATATGCAACAAACTCTTCATGGAATGGAACCGGTTCATGGACCAGGATGTCAGAGCCACTGCCCCAATGCATTCTTGTGGTCCAGGATCTTGGATGAAGGCACCTACACCACCAACTAAAACATTTTGATTATATTACGCCTATGAAAATGTACATAGGGTTCTTATTACACAATGTGGTATAAGGTGATCTCAATAAATCCTGTATCAGTTTTAACCTTAATATTTTCACACATGCATACACACACACACACACACACACACACACACACACACACACACACACTCCGTACTGACCTTACCTGGCTATTAGAGTCAAGATTTGCAACTTTGGACATGCTACAAACAACATAACCAAACTCTTAATCTCTTTTTTATATCACAACACTGAATTGCGATTTTTGTTACCATGATTATCTCCCTTTCTAGACACTAAACCCCTTGAGGGAAGGAACTAGTTTTCCTTACCTTAGTACCCTTACAACTAAAGCAATATTTGGCACAATTGTGAGTTCTATAAATATTTGTTGATTGAATGAAATTATGAGGCCCGGTTTATGTCTCCTAAAACATCATAATTATATATAGAAAATCCCTGCTACTATTTTATGATTTATTGATGGAAACAAGATTTGGATCTGTCCTTCCACATTCATTTATTCCCTCCTCAGACCTACGTGAAACCTTGTCTGGTGCTATGCTAATTCTAAAGACAACAGAAATGAGCAGGAGGTAGTCCCTGCCGTTGAGGATGTCATGAAGAGTTCAGTTTTAGAGCTCACATGATCCTTTTAGCACAGTACCTTACAGAAGCATATCCAATTTCTTGCACGATGTAAATATAATTAATCTAATTATTTTAAATCTTAACACAGTAAACACTTGGCTCTGATGTGTTCTCCTTAGTGAGAATATAACCTGTTTATCACCATAAGTAGCAATACCCACTCTATTTATGTGACAGTCCTCCCGTTAACAGATCACAGCCACTAGCCCCATTACATTACAGTTTACTTAAATCGGAGCCTTAGCCTTACCCACTTTAAATGAAAACAATAAATCTACTTACTATTGCAAGTCTTGTTGTATTTGCTGTTCTCCTGTGCAAACCCTTCCAGCCGGCACTGAAAACGATGCTGCCAAAATTCTTGAAACCAAGGATTTCGGAGGTTTGTTTCTGGCCGGAGCTTCAGATAATAATCGTCAAACCACTTGACATCCGGTGACTGGAGCTTGATTGTGATTCCACCCACAGCTTCTCGCTGATATCCATCTGTCACATCATACCTGTCAGCCCAGCCATCACTGTGGGAGAAACAAAACACCCCTCAGCTCACAACAGACATCTTCTAAGCAAATGAGGTCGTTTGCTTTCCTTTTGAGAGGACTAGTGATTAAATGGGTACTTCAGGTCACACTATGTTTCCACATTCCACCTAAGTGATTACTGAGATAGCAGCTTGTTATAATAAAATGTGCGATAATACAAACATGGAAACTTTGAGTCTAAGGGTGCTAGAAGGCACTACGCTCACCTTGAATTGCAAAGAATAAGCTAGTGCTTTTGGCACCAATTTTCTGGTCGCAAAACAGTATATGCCCGGAAACTGCATAATATTCCCATTCTCACTGTCTACTGAAACTTTTATAGCTAGGACAATTTAACTTTACATACTTTTCCTTTACTCTATATTAATCATTATAGTGGTCATAAAAATAAGCCCTCCTAACATTAATTTAACCAGCCTATGACATAATATTCATTTTTATTAACATTTTACAAGTGAATTACAGAAAGGTTAAAAAAAAAAAAAAACAGACACAACCTGCAGAAGATTGTCATTCTATTAAATGTTAATTTTCAGTCTCAAACTAAGATCTTTGTAGTCTATGCTTCATATTTTCTTTCCTACCCCATGACACTTCTCAAATAAATTTAAGATATACAGTGCGAAATCATGCTTTACATTAGAGGGACTGAAAGAACTTATTAATAATATAAGCCATCAAGGATGATGACAAGGATCATACTCAACATTTCTGTTGTTCTAGGCACTGATCACCCAGAGTAATTTTAAAGTAAAAGAGTTTGAAATCAGGGAGTTCATGTTATAACCGTAAAAGAGAGTATAAGAGAATAGGAGAAGTATTTGAAATTTATTCTGAAAGATGTATAAGACACAATATTGGAAATGAGAAATACGAAAGATGTTTATATCAAGTTTGGGCACACTCTAGGGCAACCAGGTGAAAGGACTCTGACTGGCACCTGTCTCTCTCCATTGGAAAATAAACAGTTTGTGCTTTGTATTTGCTTTTTACTTTGAAGCGATGCAAATGCTCTCTAAAAAAAGATAAAGGAAGTCAAGGGAAATTTTGCCAATTAAAAAATTCACACGAAAGAGGGAAGAGAAGGGGTATAGAGGAAGTTGAGGGGAAGAAGAGAACAGATGCAAAGCAGAAGAGTGCAGGTAAGTGCCAGTGGGAGAGGTGAGCACTGGGGAAAGGGTGAGGGCAAGTATTTATATTATCAATCTTTTTTACTTCATTAATATTCAGATATTTCTTTTTATAAGAATATATTGTTGTTAGGTGCCATTGAGTCGATTTCGACTCATTGCAATCCCGTTTGACAGAGTAGAACTTCCCTGTAGGGTTTGCTAGGCTGTAA